CAATTTGCTGTATACGAAGTGAAACTGTTCTTGTTATAAAATTACTTTTTTCGCTCATTTTATTTGCTGCTAGAAGAGCAGATTCAGATTCCTCATTTCGGTGGTATTTTTCTGTGTTTCGTTTAGTTTTAGCCGAGTCCGACCCCACGCCCGGACTACTAAAACATGCAATACACACGTACGCCGCATGGTGCGTCTGCGTCGTCGCCAGTCATCTTGATACAAAGTTCCAAAACAAGTGCGTACATTTCCAACATATGATTGGATGGTTGTGGTGGCGTCGGGCTGGTAAAATTTGACAACTAATTCACAAAATTAAGCCACGATCAGTGATCTGAGCTCGATCTATACGTACTTTAAAAGTATTCTCACAAACATATTTTCGAATGAAAACGAGCCACATGCCCTGTAAAAAATCGAATAGCACTTGACATGCAGGAATAATTTATTGGGCTTCAGAAAAAAAAAATGTGTCCATTTAGTGTGGCCGTAAATATTTGGTGACCAGCCAATGAACAATTTGAAAATCATGATTCACACGGAAGTCCTTCGATACTGAAAATCATCGACCCCAGTCTGGTTTACCTTATTTCCCAACTTGCAAAACTGATTTGTATCTCAGCCCTGTTTTTTCTTTTTTTGAACTGAGATCAAATCCCATCAGTTTGTCAAAATATACCGATGTTTTTCAGTGAATAATTGCGAAGCCTGTCACAGCACAAAAAAAATTTTTGTGAATCGACAATGGAGATTGGATGGTACGACGACCCTTCAATTTGCGTTAAATATGTTTTTTTACAACATCATTGATTGGCTGAGAGTCAACTGATCGGAGCACAACCTGGGTCACAGAACCATATTTGTTCGTATTATCAACAGGACTTTGCGAGAAAACCACACCCACATTTTCAACCATTTTAGCGCGGAAGTTGCCAACAAATATCGAAAACTCGTGAATTTTTATTTCAAGGTGAGAAATGGATACTAGTAGTTGAAGTTCCATCAATTTCAAGGCGACTATTTAACCGCGACAACTCTACGCTCTGTTGTAGTTTCGCGAGGTAAAACAAAAATACAATAAATAGTACTTGTTTAATTATTTGGTTGTACAGCCCGCAAATTACGGGACATGATCCCCATGAATTGCGATAAATAAATGCTGATTGTGTAGAATGACAGACGTCGGGACAATTTGGAGAAACAAATTACGGTCGGTAGACATTTCAAACAAATGAAATTATTAACGAAAGACGAGATTTTTCTAGGTATTTACGATCATACGGTCATACCGAATATATACAAAATTGACAAATACACAAAGAGGCGTAATAGTAGGTCATTTTTATTTTAGCCTTAGAAATATTTTCTTTCACTCAGTCCACGTCCATGCGTGGGAATTCTATTTAGCTTCATGGTCCTTCGGCTTGTCTTCTGCTTGGGGGGAAACAACAATAATTGTACAAATCGTAAACTCAACACAATCAGGAAAAGAAACCCAGACAACCATGTTGTACTTCTGTTGAATACATTTTGTAGCAGTGCGTCACGTCGGAATATTGTCTAAAATAAAATATTCAATCCCAGCCAAATCTAGGTCAAAGGGTCAAATTGCGTGCATATAATTATAGATAGTTAAAACAAAAAGTATTTGAACTTTTGACGGTTGTTCAACATCTATCTATGAAAACCAGAAAATTTTTAGTAGTCCGAATTTTTGCACGGTCGAAAATAAAACGGAAATTGACCGGTCAAAAGCGGAAGCGGTCAAGAGGTTTGGGGGAAATGAGTACAGTACTTCTTTGTTTGATGAAGCGATACTGATGCCACATTGTCGCCATAATGAGGCCACAATGAAGCGAAGCGATAATCGCCTAACTTTTTAATGTCGCGACATTGAAGCGATGCTGAAGCCATAACAATGCCATAATGATGCGATGCTGAAGCGAAGGTGAAGCTGAAGTGAAGCCAAAGCTTCCGCGAGAACTGTACTGTACTCTATGTGGGTACAACTCATCATAAAGTGATTTCCCTTAATCTAGTATTGTTCTGATGACTGATGTTCCAAATCTCAGAGTGTACAAGTGCAACCAAACTATGTCTCATACATGTATACATGCTGAAGAAACTGCATTCATAAATCTGAGTAAACCTGGATGTACCTTTAATAACAACTTGACTTCTTTGTTACCGGTAATTCAGGTCTTTGTATATTACCAGAACCTGGGTTTGTTTCAGTATCACCAATATAATTCCCATCAAAATGTAGCCCTGATGTTTCAATGTGCCTGGTCAGGATTTATAAACAATAACTGCATAGTGTTTTCACTGATCTTCAACTTTGTGACCCTGTATTTCAGTGATGACTCTTTATAATGGAATGCAATTTTTATAGTTTAAAGATATAATAAACAACATTTCTGACCACTTTTTTCAACAAAAACCAGAATGTGGTCCATTTCTATGACGTCACTGATCACCCTAGCATTACTCTAACTCATTAATTTATTCTGAGCATGCACAATTGTTCTCTCAGTGTTGGTGGGAGAGGTAATTTTGGATGAAAATCATGAAAAAGACTCACTTTTCAGATCTGGAGACAAAATTATGTGCATATTCACAGTGA